ACCCTCAGGAGCAAACGTGAAACGCGTGTCTCTATCTATATATGTATGAGGTCATAGTACTATTTATTCATAGATACGTTTTAATTAAAATAGAAATATTTATATCCTGAAATTCGATATCATGGCAAATGTGTTTTTTCTTCTTCTTTTTTTTTTTGAAAAGCTTTAATGATTGTCAATTATTGAGGCGCAATTTAATTATGTGGAGAATGGTGGACTTGGAGGATTAATGTTATATATAATTTATAATGTCTATACTTAATTGAGGTACTTAGTCACGAGAAAAGCCACTCTCGCCTTATTACAAAACATTTAAGAAATGTTCTCTTAAATATTTACAAATATTAGATCAAAGAAATATAAATCGATGAATGTTTTATAAATCTCCAAAAATTGGAAGATGTGCAATGTATTTTTCTGAGCGGTTGAAGCTATACCAAATTTCAGTACTAAATGTCGGCGTACAAACTTACACTTTATAACGTCCGAATATTCAATTTATTCTTGATCAATTTAAAATCCTCTGTCAATTTAGCCCCGTACGAAATATACTTAGAGTACATACTTTAGAGTACAATTATATTGCCGACGAAACTGGGCTCTAATCGTGTAATTATGAAGGTCAACAAGTTATATCAGCCGAGACACCGAAAAACCGAATAACATTGTTTTTTGAAAAGCTATGCAACTGGTTCCCAGAAATTTGTTTACCCAATCGGTAAATTTAAACAATCAAGGTATTTTCGCGGAAAGCCCGTTCCCCTATCATATAACTTTAACAAAAAGGCTTGCATGGGCAGCAATATATGGTGTGAAATCATTTAAGTTCTAGATGATAAACTTAACATGACAACAGAATTTTCCTGCTGATTGATAAAGCTTCGTGCCCTACACTAGACTTCACGCTAGAATTTATTGAAATTTTTACAAGGAGGACGAATCTATTGAACCTGAAATCACCAAAAATTAGAAGATGTGCAATGTATTTTTCTGAGCGGTTGAAGCTATACAAATTTCAGTACTAAAAGTCTGGGTACAACCTTACGTTTTATAATGACCGAAAATTCAATTTATTCTTGATCAAATTAATTTTCTATGTCAATTTAGTTCCGACCACTTTTGGTCCTAGACAAAAGAATTTTACTGCTGATGGATAACGCTTCGTGTACCAAACTAGTCTTCAAAGCAGAAAGAATTGAAATTAAATGTTCACAAGGAGAATAAATCTATTGCACCTGAAATCACTACAACATTTTGGACGATAAATGCAACAACTTTTTTACTAAAAATTATAAATATTGGTCCTAGTTTCATATAGACCCCATATAACTGTATACCTCATTAAACGGCATTTTTGTGTTCTCATTGTGTTAAAGCTTACCAGAATTTATCGAATTTATCAGGGTTGCTTTTGGCGATCGACTCTTTATGGTGAACGACAAATTCGAGATTACCTTATCTCCTCTTTCGGAAACCTAATCCTCTTTGCCGCATCCTAGGCGATTGAAAGGACAGCGATATTTTTAGTGAGGCTACCTGGTCAGTTGTGGTCATTGGGGTTAGTCTTTTTTGGCAAAATCTATGTTCACTTCTTTTGCCACGTAATTATTCGACTAGGAATTTGAATTTCAGGCTTCGCCAGTTTAGAACAGTTATGACGAGATTGTTCTTCAATATTCTAAACACAACCAGAGAGTCTGGAGTCAACGACGATCGTTTACCGTGTGTTTATTATTGGCAACGGGAAATCCGAAGGCTGACGTTGGCGTCTAGCGGCTTTACGCTAGAATAGATTTTATTCATTTTTGCTCAGCGTCATACTCAACTTTTCTCTCTTGCTCTATATTGAGTTGCCACATTTTAGGAAAAAACCACCGAATTAATAATAAAATGGAAGAAAAACTGGTCGAGGAAATAAAAAATATGGCATGTTGTATAACTTGGAACCTCCTGATTACAAAAGCACAATCAAAAATTAAGATATTTTGAAGAGCATTGCAGAGCAAAAACAAATAATTGGCATTTTGTGCCGCTAACTCATTCGCTTGGCTTTCATGCCGGCGAAAAAGTATGCCGCTGACTCCTTTGACTTTGTTTTGATTCTAATGCTCGAAAACAAATTTTCTACACGAAATTGTTACACAAAGTTTTATCATACGCATTATAGTATTGTCTCAATGTAATCGGTGGCGTTTAAATACTTGTAGATCTGGCAACACTGTTTAAATCGATTAGTTTGTGAATTGTAGCTACATGAATTATTGAACAAATGCATTTTCGTCGTTCGAAATTAGTCGAATTATTGGTCGAACACATTCTTCAATACAAAGAGTTTCCTCTCGTCCACGTTCTGGCCTGTCGATAATACTCACAAGTAGTGAAAAGCGCAAAGTTTGCAACAAAATTCATCTATTTCAGCATGGCAAATTGCAGGACACGCAAAAGAACATTTCGAAAAATACTGAAAAAATGTATATTATGGCGGTATTGCACGTAGAAAGCCCTTTCATATCTTTAATTGATAGAAAGAAACGCATTGCATTGGTGCAATGATGTAGGGATGTATGGCTAGTAGCGGCGTCAGAGTTTGTTGGAGTTCATCGAGTCTATTATGGATAAATATGCATACCTAAATATTTTCAAGGCAAATTTGGAGCGGGCGCCGATAAATTAGGTCGGGAAAACGACTATTACTTCCAGCAGGATAATGATCCCAGGTACACTGCTGACATAGTTAAGATTTGGATTCTCTATTGGATTCTCTCTTAGCAGATGTTTTAAAACGTAAAGGCTATCCAACTGGCTATAATATAAAATATGAAATAATAGCCATATTATTAATTTTTTGTACCTTGTACGCAGACTTTTTCTAATGAATTTTCTAGTCGTTAATTTTTGTAATTCATTCTTCCGTTCTCTTTTTTACCTTTAAAAGCTAATTATAATTACGACACTGTAACCAATAACCAGTTACAGCGATACGTTACTGCTGCACTAACCCATACCTATAAATTCTCACCTTTGCTGCTGTCAGTGTCATTTTTGTATTGTGTTGAAAGCAAGAATCAAGAAAGAAAAAAACGAATCGACAGAAAATGTGAGAATTTTCTTAACGTGTGGATACAACGACCGTGCCCTGCCGGTTTAGTAGTTTCATTTGGACTTGCTTAAATTATCCATGGATTAAAGTAAATATTTTATTGGTGGTATATGCCCATCTTATCTTTTTAACTAGAGTAAACAAACACTCACTCCAAACTGCCAGACAATAAACACATGCCCTTTCCCACATCCACGCAAACATCCATACATATAAACAATAATGTCTACATATATGGAGTGAATCAGTTGTGTGACGGCCCAACATTCCTTTCGTATTTGATTTCGGTTTTTTTTCGGTTTGAAAGCCGGCAACATAAACCAAATATTTTATTGTTTGTTGTTAGTCTATGTTTCCTTTTTTGTTGTTGCTGTTGTTCTTCTTCTTTTTTGGAAGTTTTTTTATTTATTTAGTATGCAGCACTCCGATTTCTATGTTTAATTAACTAGACAAACAAAATTTACAATTTATCATTTCAGATTGATGGATATGAATGCATGAATGAATCGACGACGGAAAGAAAGCGCCTTCTCTACAAAAAAAATAACAACGCCAATCAGTAAACAACACTTGAGAAAATTGAACAACCTCAAGTATAAATTAAAAGGAGAAAAACAAAAAAAATAAAAATTATCCCACCGCTGAAATAACAAATTTATTATAAACAATTGTTGTTTTTTATTGGAAACAAAATTTACATAAACAAAAGAGAGGGTGTATGTGTGTGAGTCGCAAAAATTGCAACGTGGAATTGTGTTTTTATTTCTGTGAGAAGAACAACGAACCAGCCACAAAGCCAAAAGCCAAAGAGACCGGCAAGCAACCAAGTATAAATATTAGTTTTTTGCTCTTCTCATTTTGATTGGAGTAGTCGGTCTGCCGTTTGGCTGTCAAGTCAAAACAACACAGCACAGTACAACAAACCATTTTGCAACAACAACCACATCAATTATGATGGATAGATAAGTTTGTTATTGTTGTTGGGTACTTTTAATTGTTGTGTTGTTCAAAAATCTAAACAATTCATTCTCTCAACACGCTCTCCTCTCCGCTGTATGTGTGAAATAACACGGTAAAGAGGAAGAAGCAGAAGTGTGGCAGACACCAACAAACAATAACAATACAATACAATTAACCGACTGCACTTTATCTCATATCCACCATACCCATACCCCCCATACAACACCTTCAAAGCGAGTGACTGAACGAGCGTGCCTCAGGTGTAAAAGACAGACACACAAAAAGAGAAGAATACCTATGCTGCCGTCGCCGTAGCTGCCAGGCAAATTGTGCGTATGTGTTTTTTTTTGTCTGTTCTCTCAGTCAAAACATTTCATGTTTGGTGGTGTGGTGAGCAAGAAGCAGCACACACAACCATTGTAACCAAAACACAACAAACAACGACAGGTCATATGCAAAGTTGAAGACCAACAACACCTCAGTGGCTGGCCGAGTGTCGGCGGCAACGGTTGTGTAGTAAAACAAGAAGAAGACGTGGACGAAAACAAAAATACCTCGTAGTGCGATTATTAAACAATAATATAAAAGAAACAGCAAACTTGTGTTCTCTCCGGTGAGTTAAATGTTTACTGCAGTGATTACCTGAGAGACCGTGAGAGAGAGAGTGAGGCAAAAAGAAAAGAGACAACTATATGTTGTGAGTGTTGTAAAGTTGTGAATTGAACGAACGAGCGACGACTACGATAAACCATCATCAATAACAGATACATACAACTCATTCAACTCACCACAAAAATAAAATCAAATATATTCACCTCACCACAGACAGAGTTCGTTCGTTGACAGCTATTGCTCTATTGAAAAGAACGAGAAAGTTATACCACAGAACATCATCATATAGCAGCCGCCGCAGCAGAGCCAAGAGCCAGAGACGACCTCAAAGCAAGACAAACTCAGTTGTGTTGAAGTAGAACGAACGAGCGGTACGACTCGTGTCTGTACGCATATTAGGTTTGTTTTTGTGTGGTGTGGAAGAGCAAATAACGCAGAATTGTTGGCGATTCCGCAGTCTGCCTTAGAAGGGACATGGCCGTCTTTTTGCTCAATATCTGTAAATTTAATGGCTGCGGAATCACATTTCCAAGTTTAGGAGATTTAATACAACACATCGAGGACACACATATTGGTAAGTTTACAAAGAAAAGCAAAAACCTGAACAAATCAAAAATTTAATCAACCAAAAAAATATTTCCGAAAAATAAATATCCAATGTGAATTTGTGGATATATTGTGACTAGAAAATCAAAGTTTTTTCCATTTTCGTGTATACATAAAAAATGGTGGCTACAGTTTTTTTGTTCCTTGCAAAGCCCCCAAAGCAGCAGCTTTGTAGACACTCTCGAGTCGGTCTTTAAATGCAAAAAAACTAAAAAAAGAAATTAAAAATTGCTTTAAAACAAAATTGCCATCCATCCTTCTATATGTGGATGGGTGGACGGACATTCATCATCATCGCCAGAAGAAAAATGATGAACAGTGTTGTTGTCCCTCTGAATATGAAAAAATATTGTTTAAACAAATTGTTGGTGTGTATTGTGTAGTTTTGTAGTGTTTTTCTCTCCCCCCAAAACAAAAAAAAAAAAGAAGAAACAAATAAATTTAATTATAAAACAAGAAGAATAAAAAACAAAATATGAAAACGAAACGAAGAAAAAAGGCATCTATGAAACCCGTACAATGTCCAACGTAAGCTTTTTCAGTTGTATATACCACAGAAAATTTTTCAGTAAAATGCAGAAAGAAGAGCGAATGTGTGTGCGTGTGTTTGTGTGTGCAGGCAAGCAAGCGAGCAAACGACGAACGAGCTGCTAACCAAACCAAAAACCCAAACGAACGAATGAAATATGTGTATAATATGATTTGGAGTGGGGAATTTTACATGGACTCCTCTCGTAAAATAATGTCTTCAATCGAATTCTTCGTCTTCGTCCACCACAACACCATATATATCCATCCATACATCCATCTTAACAACCAACCTACCAAACATCCATCCAACCATTTATCCATACGACCGTGTCCACATACTACTTACCTACCTACCATACACAATACACGACGTGTGTGCAGGGGCGGCAGTTTATAATGCGTTGCGTTATGTTATATGTTTACTTTTCTATGATCTATGGCTTCTGATGAATCAAGGAAGAAGACGAAGTACCCGTATACGGTGTTTTTTGTTCCTTATACCCCACTTTTTTGTTGTGGTTCTTTCCTTACAAGTATCGTTGTTGTTGTTGTTGTTGTCGTCGTCGGTGTTCACCCTTAACGTCGCCGCTGTCGCCGTCATCATCTTCACCACTCATCGTAGCTGTAGTGTTAGTCGCTAGTCATATAGCCAGCCTGTTTGTCCGTTCGTTCGTCGTCTCGTCCATTCCTTTAATTTATTTTTGCCCCCTTTGGTACTCCTTGTGAGTTTTGAATTGCATACATACAGACAGGCAAACAAACCGACCAAACATCAGTCATATCCAGAGTAGTGTGTTGTGTACTAGTAACACATAGGTACGTCGTAAACGTGATGAGAGCAGCAGTCGAAAGAAGCGTCAGCTGTGTTTGGAAAAATCAATATGCTGAAGAGTATGTGTGTGTTTTTTTGTCCTATGCTGCTGCATGCATATTATGCCATCTCGCTTCCTCTTCCCTAAAATATATCACCGCTTTTTTCAAAATTTTATGTGTTAATGCATTCTCTTGTGCGTTTTTTCTACTTCATTCATTAAAAAATGCTCAGTTGTCATTATTTTGCGCTATTGATGAGTGACAGAGAGATAGAGAGAGGAGTAGTGTAGTTAATGAGGTGAGAGTAGCGGTTATGCAGTTTGCAGATATTCCTCATTTTTTATTAATTAATTTAAAAAAATAGAAAATAACATAAAACATAATTTATTTAATTATTATTTAATAAAAATAATAAGTATTTAACATTACCTACTTCTTTGCTTTTCTTCGTGCCTTCCACAATTATTATTCACCATACACACACACGCAAATTCAATTGTCAGACGTCTAGTCTGGTACTTGGTGCATCATTTCCCCAGTTATGTCAAATGTTCTTCTGCTCTCTGTTCTAATACTCAGTGCGTTCTTGTCGTCTCTCTCCAATTATGATGTCAACCAAGGTAGATATACAAGGTAGCCGCATCGGCGAATTTCTACAACAAACATCGGTTGTTGTATTTTGATATGTCAAAAATATTTTGCCAAAACAAACAGATTGACAAGATTTTTTTACACAAATTCTTGTAGAAAATGTTAATAAAAGTATTGTCAAAAAATCTATACGAAATTTGGAGATTTTCATTAATAATTTTGTTTTTTAATTTTTTGGTTCAACATTACAACAACATTTTTGACATTTATTTGTCCAACAGCTGGGCCGATGCGGCTACCTTATTAAATATACCTTGATGTCAACAAAATCTCACCACCACGGCGCGATGACTGCTCTACAAAATGAGAGTCTCGCCGCCGCAGCCGCCGCCGATATAAACAATTTTTTATGCCGGTGTTTTTCTTCATTGAAACACCGCACAGCCGTATCTATACGTAGAAAATTTAATGAGGGTATTTGAATCTTGAGACTAGAAATGAAATAAAAAAATTAAAGTGTGAATTGATGAACCGACCGAACCATCAAGCAAGGAAATAAAAAAAGGTAGCATTATATTTTTATTCCATCCATCCATCATCCATTTTCAATTGAACCGAAATTGTCGTCGTGTTGTGTGTGTGTGTTGTTGTTGGTTCTGCATCTCTCTCGGTGTGTTGTATGGTTAGAAGTAGAAAGGAAAAAAGAAACACGATTGTGGATAGACAGCTATAAATTTTATTGTGTGCCGTGTTTGTCTTTTTTTATTATCCCCTACATCTCCAGTGTAAAATCATCAATAAAATGTGTGTGTTTCTGTCCGTCGTCTGTCCTCAGTCTGGAGTAAAATTTTCATGGCAATTAAAACTCTCGGTACCACCAATAAAAAAAAAACACACACACAGAAAATTAAACAACATCCCACAAAAATTATAATGCAATACATAACCTACATTTCTATGTTTTTTCCCTGAACAAAACACCAGAACGATAGGCCAGTTTTTGCTGGAACACAGTAAAAGGGGAGGGAGATGATGGTGGATATGTCTACAATTAAAAAGTTTGTTGACCTGGTCTGATTTCATTGAAATATCGAACTTGTCTGTCTGCCGCCGCCTGTGTAACCCTTTTCTACTCGTCTGCGCTAGGAGGGGGTTGGTGGTTGTAATTTTATTCAAGTGTCTTCTTTTCTTCTATCCCTTCCCCTACACCCTTAACCACCTCTTTTATAAAAAAAACTCCTCTAGGGTGCATAAAAATGAGAAAATGATTTTATTTTCTCAATTCGAAAAAAAAAAAGAAATGCAGCTAATAAATTGGAAAATTAAAAAAAAAAAATGTCATTGTCTGGGAATTTTAAACGGCATATACATTAGAACTTTTTACCGGGTTAACCTACTTTATGAGGGTTTATTTGACTTATATGCAAAGCAATTGACAATTGAAACCCACTGGGTTAAGGAAATCCGGTTAAATGTAAACGTACTATAACTCAATTTTGAAAATTAAAAAAAGTGAATAAATTGAAATAAAATAGAAATGACTTGTGAAAAGACTTTAATTAAAATTGTCTTTTTAATATTGAAAGAAACTCTCCTTATAATTAATTAATGAAACGCAAATTTTTTAAATGGTGCCCTAACTGAATTGATAGTAGCTTTTTGTGGAATAGTGTCTGGGATTTAAAAGGAATTGGCAATTGAAACCCACTGGGTTAACGAAATCCGGTTAAATGTAAACGTCCTATTATATATCGATGGAAAAAAATAGAATCTATAATTGGCCCATATTGTCTCCATTTTTTGTGCACGGATCCACAGTTAGGTTGAGGTACCAATCATTGGACATGCAATTCTCCCAGTCAAATTCTACTAATCAGCATTTTCCTGACCAGCATCCGGATATACCGGTCATGAATACTTCGTCATCGGCTGCTTTATTACTCTTCTACCGATTGATTGCTATTCTGGCCTCATATTGGCTACACTCTATACCGACATCTCTTATTGGTTCCGCTGGGACATCTTCTTTACCGCCTTCGCCTATTTGTTACCAGAAGCTTTGCAAAATATTCCTCTCAGATTATTAACATATTGTCTGTGTATATGTAACCACAGTATCATGGAACACAAATTTCAATGAATTGATGGCAATCTGACAACGTGTCGTCAAGTGTCAGGTGGTCTGCTACACCAATTTTTTCAGTCGAAGAGCTATTTTATAATAGTTGACGATGCTTGTTCTAATATTTTGTTAATCCATTCGTCATCCAATGTCGCATAACAACCAAGCTTTAGGGATTCACATTTTAGGGAAGATTCAAGGGATTCTGTTGACAGTCATTTCCTTCGATATCATCTGCTGACTGTCCACGACTGCTAATTTTATTCACAGATGATTGCAGTGGTCGCGCGTTCGATAGGAATGATCTATGATTTTAACAAAAGAGGATATATGCAGAGCGGTATCCTACTATACGAAACCTGTGGTCGCATTCGATAGAAATCAGGCTATGATTTTTCAGTAGACGACGAGTACAATACCATTGCAATGGTATCAATTGTAGGGTGATATTGCAAATATATATCGGCAACTGGGGAGGTAGTTTTTAGAACGTATTCCTGGCATAAAAATATCAATGTGGTACATTGTGTGGGATTTGCTGCCCATTTACTAGGCTGAAACTCCGAAGAGTTTCGTATTATTTAGCCTTAATACCTGTGTCCATCATCCGTGGGTTGACGCTTCTTAAATCCCGTCTATCGCAGCCTGTTAAATCCCAGCCTGTTAAATCCCTCTTCAACTCGTCTACATATCATGTAATAAGAAGAAGCATTTGTTTGTTAACCAACCAACTGTGCATGGTTATGCTTCTTCTTATTTATATAAGGAATAATTTTTGGCGGCAATAGACAGAAATTTGGTTATAAGAGTGATTCAAAGTAATTATAAGAAATTAACAAGTGCCATATATGTCCTTGTGTCTATATCTACAAACTATTGACCCTGAAGCTTTTTGAGTCTTGTCTATTGCA